CTACAAGACCATAGTCTTAAATGAAGGTAAACGTCTGCTTGGGACTTTTGTTTGTTATTTCTGTCTGGTGCATGTGATCAGGACATGCAAGAAAATAAAGAAAAAACAAACAAACAAACAAAACTAGACCACATATCTGCTGCACCGAGATGTTTAGCGAGAACAATATATTCTTCTCCCTTTTTAAGTCCCCTCTGAGAGTGGCCAAGGTTACAGATAGTCGGTGCCATTGTACTCTGGTTTCTAATCTGTTGTGGCTGCTTAAATTGTTTCTTTCATGGAGGCTCCAAGTTACCAGGGCAGCTGATAAAGAGTAGGAAACTCCAGATCCAGGACATATATATTGAATATTCTTATTAACATCGACAGTTATCTCTTGTCTTCTAATGCTACCCAGAATCTCACCCCTCTGCTCTAGATCTCTCCTAGCTGATGCCATTTGATATTGGTCCTTCTGCCTGCATCCCTGTACCTCCAACCTACTCTGTTTGTGGGGTACATAAGCAATAAGGGCACCAGGTATGATGTTACTATCACTCCTGACTCAGGTACCCAGTTCTTTGTATCTAGTACCTTATGCTAAACCTTATAGCAATGAGGAGTTGTAAGCATCATTAATACTGTGTTCCCACCTTCCTCTTTCTGCTTCCTTTGACCTGTTTGTTTCTCTTCCTCTTCCTCGCTCCTTCTCCTTCATTTTTTCCCATTTTTCTCCCTCCTGCGCTCTCCTTCACTCTTTTTTGGGTGCCTTTCCCTTATCCCTCCTTTCTCTCTCCTCCATGCTGCCTCCTTTCTTCTTTTTTTATTTTTTCGTTTCCCCCCCTCTTTTTTCTTCCCTCCTCCCTTTCACTCTCTCCTCTCTTCCTCATCCCTCCCCTCCTGGGTCTTCTTTCTCTCATCTCTCCTTCCCTCCTTATATTGAAGGGCTATTTCTAGCCATGGCTGTTCAAAGGTGTTCTGGTGGCCTAGTGGGTTATACATTGGGCGTCTAACCACAGGGTCAGTGGTTTGAACCCACCAGATTCTCCATTGGAGACAGATGAGCTTTCTGTTACCATTAAGATTTACAGCCTCAGAAACGCACAGAGGAAGTTCTACTCCATCCTGTCGGATCTCTATGAGTCAGAATTGACTTGTGGGCAATGAGTTTTAGACTGGTTTCCCAGGGTGCAGTGCTGTTGGGGCAGAACTACTATTGTGAACTACTGAATTCTACTTATTATAAATGGACTTTATTGGTCCTGTTCTCATTTTGGGTCCAGGTAGAATGTGGACCCTAAAAGACTATATCTAAATAAAGAAAGGCCACAAACCGTTAGCTAATGTTTTTTTAGACAGCAGAGAGAGGAGCTACACATTTGAGCTTGTTGCCGTCTGCCCACGGATCCTGTGTGTCAGTCCCTCACCTGCTTAGCCAGTGAAATTACCTGTAAAGTCAGACACCTGAGAGACCTCCATGCTTTGCGGTTCGCTTTGCAGCCAAAGAGCCGATGGGCCTGTAGACTAAGACGGATCCCCCCCGAGGGTGCTTCTTTCTCTCTCACTTTAAGTCACCTGACCCTTTATCAAAGTCCACATTAGTATGTATCACTCTGTTTTCTATTTTGGAAAAAAAATAATTAAAAACTCTGTACTTTATAAACAGTGAGGGCTCACAATTAAGTGTGTGATTCTAACACATAAAGACCTCCCCTGACATCTAGGCTGCAGTTTGTATGTGCTTTGGGTGATTTCATGGCAAGAAAGCACAGAGCCCTGTCCCTGGTCCATACTCTGCTGTCAGCACTGAGCAATCACTGTCTGCCGTGAGGAAATGGCAGTGCATTCAGAGTGTAACTTCTAATAGAGCATGCGGATTTGTTTCTGCTTGCCATTTGTACTCCTTGAGGTCAAGGCTGGTTTTTTGAAAGATAAACTCCTCTGAAAACTACAAAGTGGCTTTCAATAAAACTGTGATCGTGAATAATAAAACCTGAGGATAGTGTCTTCTCCAATTGCTATTCATAAGTGCAATGTCCGGTGAAGGAGAAAACATTATTGATTTTGAATGTGTCACTGATGTCAAAGGTCTGGACACCCCGTGTTATGTATGTTGTTTGCTATAACCATTTACATCATAGGTTCTTTCCATAGGAACTATGTCATTTTCGATGGCATATGGTTGGGGTTCTGAAAAAAGGTTTCCCCTGCTTCTCTCTCTCTGGACTTTGCCTGGCCTGGCATAAATAAAAAAAACTAATTATTCCATTATTTTATTAATCTTTCTATCATTTCTTCTTACATCAAAATCTCTTCTCTCTCACATTTTCTTAGCATTATATTCTTTGACTTCTCTCTTCTTTGCTCTGACCCATAAGAGGATATTTTAGGATGTCTCAAGTGGGTTTTACAAATTAAATCTAGTAAGAAATAAAAATGGTACCACAAGTGGAAATTTCCCCTCTTATATTTTCCAAAGATTGGTTTACTTTCTGAGACCTAATAAATAAAAACCTCTTCGGCTTTAGAATAACTGCGAGATCTCAAACTCTGGCATTCTCTCTGCAGAGCATAATATACTATATGATTACTTCCCCCAAACTCCTCTCCTGGATCAAAAATGAGTCGCTTCTGAAGTCCCTGCAGTCTTTCACCAAATGGCATTACATTGAGCGTGACCTTGCAATGTTCAACATTAACATTGATGACGACTATGTCCCATGCCTTCAAGGAATCACCAGAGCTAGTTTCTGTAATGTTTACCTGGAATGGATCCAATACTGTGCACGGAAATGCCAAGAGGTAAGGGGTGAGGGTCACTGAATGGAATGTTTTAAAACAGGAACAGTATTGTAAAGTTCTTGGTCTTATAATTCATAGTTGACTACAATAATATCAAGGGAGAAAAAGCATTCATGTTTGGATTAATGATTCATCACAATTAACTAGAAAATGAAGACATTACGAGTGAGCAGACTTGAAGGTGCCTTTCTCTCTGCATTGTACTGCAGGATCAGTGCTGCCAGGTCTCTATAAGCACTTAAAAAAGGAAAACTCCTTCATTTAAATTTTCATTTTAAGATTGCTAGACAGAGTCCACCTGTGCTGAAAAGACGATTTTGTGAACACATTTAATCATGGCTATGCAGAGTTTGCTTAACAACCAGATGACCCCACTTATGTTTGTGGTTGTTTCTCTGTATTGTGTTGTTCAGTTGCTGGGGATTAGCTAGAGGTGGATCTCACCACCGAAATGAAACCCAGGGTCATGTCAGCTTATGGAAAGAAATGGGGGGAGAGGAAAGAGAGAGATGAGGATGAAGGGGGAGGAAACTGTTTGAACGGTGAATTAATATGTGGTTGATGGAGAAATGGGTCTATGCTGAAATAACTTCTTTAGCTAAGTCATTACCCTATATTAGACTGTGTGAAAGTGGGCAAAATCTTGCCTTCCAGTACTGTGCTGAAGGACCATATTAAAAATCCCATGGATTAAATCAATAAACCATATCATAGTCCTCTTTTTCCCATAAAATAGCTTCTCCAGAGACACTTTAAGTAAACAGTGTTCTCCATCCCTGGGATTATCATAGAGGGGTTGGTTGACTATCATGGCTGACTTAAAACGTGACCTTCCATTGAAGATTGGTGTTGGTAACTATCGGAGCCTGCATGAAAGTTGAGTTGGTGTCCCTCCTCTTTCAGCCTTCAAAGATTCTGGACAGTGACGAGGACTCTCCTTTGGTGACTCTCTCCTTTGCTCTGTGTATCCTGGGGAGGAGAGCTCTGGGAACTGCAGCTCACAGTATGGCTCTCAGGTACGTAAGCAAACAACTGGTATTTCTTAGACCAGTATAGGCACCAACTCCCACCCGCCCCACCCCAACTTATTTTGGTAATATATACCCTTATTTTAGAGTTGAATTGTTTATACTTCTTTTCATAGTTCTTTCTGGAATAATAATGTTGGGGATTCCATAGCTATTTTGATAACTACTGTTTTTTGGAGGATATGGCAATAAAATTAATATGGAACAGTCAAGATTTAGCTACTCTGAGTATCGGATTTTCTACTCTGATCCTTGAAGATTTGCTGGAAAGATTAAATTAAATTATGCCTACATAGTATCTGGCCTGGTACCTCACAAAGCTTATGCTCAAGAAATGTTAGATCCCACCCAGTCCCAACAAAAATCACCTTACCTGTGCTGTAGCCTCAACCTTACCCTGTCCTGCTTCTAAGAGACTCTCAGTAAAGGCATTTTCCTTTTCCTGCTTTTCAATTCTGTTCTACTGGATCATCTACTCTGTGTATAAACAAATTACATTTCTCTTCTTGGAGGACCAAACCCAAACAGTCAACTGCTCCCTGGCCATGTGGCATCCTCAGTAACTCTTTCACTCACAAAGGAACTTTTGAACTTTCACTTACAATGAAATGACTTACACCCCCAATAGTTTTCATTTGCCTTCTGTTCTCTGCTTTTACTCATTGCATCAGTCACATCCCAACTCTCCAAATCAGTGATCATTCACAGCTTTTTCTAATTCCTTGACATTCCAGTTTCTGCCTGTCCTAGACAATTTCCTTGGTTAACTTTTCTTCAGGGATCTGCTATCAAAAAGTTAGTGGTTTGAATACATTAGCCATTCCACAAGAGAAAGATGAGGTGGTCTGCTTCCTTAGAGATGTATAACCTCGGAAATCCTATGGTGTAGTTCTACTCCATTCTATATGTTGAAATCAATTCTAATGCTTTCAGAGGTCTTTACAATTTCTGAATCCATGCCCATGACTCCACTCTCAGCCACAGGATAAAATAGTGAGGGACAGAGGGTTGAGGAGGGAGGGGGGGAATGAGGAGCTGATACCAAGGGCTCACGTAGAAAGAAAATGTTTTGAGAATGATGGTGGCAACAAATGTACAAATGTACTTGACACAATGGATGGATGTATGGATTGCGATAAGAGTTGTACGTGCCCCCAATAAAATTATTTTTTTAAAAACAAACAAAACAACAACAACACAAACTCTCAGTCATTGAGTTGATGCCAACTCATAGGACTCTTGTAAGACAAGACAGAGCGGACTCTGTGAGTTTCTGGGATTGTAACTCTTTATGGGAGTAGAAAGCCCCATCTTTCTCCCTGCCTAAAAGGTAAACAATAACATCTTTCCTTAGAGTCTAAGGCTTTGGCCAATAGCCCATTTGAGAGTACGGGGCCAACATTAGCCCAGAGCTAAAGTTAAGAAAGCAAAAAGGAATAAGAAACAACAAAATAAAAACAGGAAACACAGGGAAGAAGTGGGAGGAGTGATGTTACTTTGTGGGAATTACAATCAATGCCACAAAACACAATGTGTATCAGATGTTGAATGGAAACACCCCCCCCCCCGACTGTAAACGTTCACCCAAATCATACTAAATTGTTTTAGAAAAAAAAAAAATCCTGAAATGCAAGCCATACTCCAACCTACCCAAATCTGTATAGGTCGTATTTTTTTAAGTTCCCCAGGAGATTACAGTGTGCAGCCATGGTCAGAGACCATAAAGGAAGAAACTCCAACAAACAAACACAATGGCTGGTCAAGGCCCCACTGCACTCAGCATCTCTAGGAATCTCTTAACTTCGGTTTCCTCCTCTACTTGGAGTTTCTCTAATATGTCGGTGTTGAATTTTCCGTCTGGGGCTCTGTTATTTGACTTGAGTGAGTTTCATGTTAGATTGCAAGCTTCTGGCGGGCAAACCCCTCTGTTCTAGCTGCTTAGCAGCCTTCATTACACCAGGTGTTTAGGTCAATGTTGACGAGTATACAGAGCTTTGGAGTTTATTATACTTTTGAATGGCTTGGCTGTGAGTCATCAATGCGGGCAAGCAGTTGAAATGGATCATAAGTTAAATGTCAGGGACTGATCAAGGGAATGGAGATTAGCAGTGCCTTTCAATTCCTCCTGGGGACAGTAGCTTTGAGTCACCATGAGGGCAATGTAAGAACATCAGTTATTTAGCATTTGTGACATCAACTACCCTTTCCATTCTCACATCTCAGAATTTCATGATAATTCTTCACAGGTAAGCAAGGCCAAATGACTATCCATAGCTGCAAAGGGACTGATCCATAATTGATTGTGTTAGTACCTGTGATAGGAAAAAACTGAGCAGGATCTCTGTCCTCCTACGTGACTCAGTCTCATATGAAATCCTGATAACTGCCTGTGTGGCCAAATTGGATAGCTATGAGAAGAAATAAACTAAAGGGTAACCTCAAAAAAGATATGATGACATAACAAAGTAAAAATCTGAACAAAAATTTCAAAAGACAACTTGAGAAGACAAAGTAAAATATAACGAAATGTTCAAAGACCTACAATTAGAAAACCCCCAAAAGGAAAGGTACGCTCAGCATATACCAAGCTGAAAGAATTGGAAACAAATTTCAAGTTGCAGTAGTAAAAGATTCTATGGGGAAAATATTGAATGATGCAGGCAGGGAGCCTCAAAAGAAGATGGGCCTCTTTTAACGCGGCGGCAGCCTAGCAGTGTGAATTTTTACTTCACTACTTCAGGACCTCTGCTCAGCAATCGTGTCTACGGAATCTGCAGGTGGCGTTTACCTTAGTACCACTTACTCTTGTGCTTTTCCAGCACGGAAAAGTGGAAGTCATTGTAAATTTTCAGGGTAACTGAACCATCCCAAGTTATGTTGCTTTTACAGATACTGAACGATTGGTTGGCAATGCAGCAAAGAATCAAGTTTCTATGAATTCCACATACATGCTTTTTGAGACCAAACATTGGATTGGACGAAGATTTGATGATATCGTTTGTCCAGTCTGATATGGAACATTGGCCCTTCCTGGTGCTAAATGATGCAGGCTGGCCTAATGTCCAAGTAGCATATGAGAGAAATAAAAAGCTTCTCTCCAGAGGATGCGTCCTCTATGGTTCTGACAAAGATGATGGAAATTGCAGAAGCCTACCTTGGTAAGAATGTCCTCCATGCTGTTGTATCAGCCTCCTTTAGTGACTCTCAGCACCAGGTTACCAAAGACGCTGCAACCATTGCTGGCTCCAATGCTCCTGGAATCATCAATGAGCCAACTGCAGCTATGATTGCATATGGCTGGACATAAAGGTTGGTGCTGAAAGAAATGCACTGATCTTTGACTTGGGAGGTGGCACTTTTGACTCATCAATCCTCAAAATTGAAGATGGCATCTTTGAGATTAAAATCTACAGCTGGAGACACCCATTTAGGTGGAGAAAAATTTTATAGCAGACTGGTCAACTATTTTATTGCTGAGTTCATCAAAAAGACATCCGTGAGAATCAGAGCGCTGTCCGTCGCCTACACACTGCTTGTGAACGTGCCAAGTGCCCTTTCTCTTCCAGCACTCAGGCCAGTCTTGAAATTGATTCTCTGTCTGAAGGTCTCAACTTCTCTACTTCTATCATCCAATTGGAAGATTTGGGTGCTGGGCCCTGTGGAGGAAGGCCAAGCTCAACAAGTCACAGATCCATGACATGACCCTGATGGGTGGTTCTACCCATATTCCCACGATTCAGAAACTTCTTCAGGATTTTTCCAATGGAAAGGAACTGAACACGAGCATCAACCCTGAGGCAGCTGTTGGTTATGGTGCGCAGTTCAGGCCATCTCATCTAGAAACAAATCTGACAATGATCAAGCTTTGCTGTTCTTGGATGTCACTCTTCTTTCCCTGGGCATTGCAACTGCTGGTAGAGTGGTGATTGTTTTCATCCAATGCAATACTGGCATTCCTACCAAGCAGACAACACAGACCTTCATGCCAGCCAGCGGGGTGCCGTCATTCTGGTTTATGAAGGCGAGCATGCCATGATCAAGGACAGCATGATGCTCGACTCACTGGCATACATCCTGCACCCTGTGGTGTTCCTCAGATGGAAGTCACTTTCAATATTGATGCCAATGGCATGCCCAGTGTCTCTGCTGTGGATGAGAGTACTGGGAAAGAGAAGAAGATTACCACCATTAACAACGAGGGCTGCTTGAGTAAAGAAGATATTGAACAGATGGTCCAGGAAGCTGAGAAGTACAAAGCTGAAGACGAGAAGCGGTGGGATAAGATGTCCTCTAAGTATTCACTTGAATCTTAGCATTTAACATGAAAGCAACTGTTTAAGATGAAAGGCTGCCAGGCAAGATCAAGGATGAAGACAGAGGACTCTTAACAAGTGTGATGAAATTATCAACTGGCTTGATAAGCATCAGACTGCAAAGAAAGAGGCATTGGAACATCAGCAGAAAGAGCTGGAGAAAGTCTGCAACCCCATCTTTACCAAGCTGTACCCGAGCACCGGAGGGAAACCTGGAGGGATGCCTGGAGGCTTCCCTGGTGGTGGCACTCTTCCATCTGGTGGCGCTTCATCTGGACCCACCATTGATGAGGTTGATTAAGCCAATATGAGAATAGAAACTGCATTGTTGTCAATAAAATTTTGAAAGACTCACATTTGTAGCGCAGTGACCAGCAGTTGTAAAGAGTTAAAGCAGTTATAATAAATTTCTGGGTATTCTTAATACTTGAACATAGAATCTGCATAGGGAAAAAGACATTAAATCAACATTGCACTTTATTAGTATTGTTTTGTAATGTAAGTGTAAAATGCAATAATAAAGCTGTATTTAAAGTTGGCAACAAAAAAAGAAGAAGAAGATGGAAAGAATACAGAGTCACTGAAGCAAAAAGAACTAGTCAACATTCAACTATTTCAGGAGGTAGCATATGATTAAGAACCAGAAGATTGAAGGAAGAAGTCCGAGTTTCACTG